TATGTGCAACAAGCTGGTGGACACCTGAACATAGTATGTGTATCAGGTTAGGATTAGGCTATTATTTTATTTCAATTTTTCCTATTTTAGTTCTATTATGAGTTCGGGGACTAGCCAAGTGACTCCTGTAGTATTTGTCCCTGAAATTATGGCCTAACCCTAACCTGATACACATCCTACGTTCCGGTGTCCGCCATCTTGTTGCACATATTCGGGAGTACCGAAATTTCTATGATAAAAATTCGTTCTGGTAAATTTCTGCTTCGTATGCCTCTTTTCTGTATAGCTATTTTCTTAGTAGAGCTGACTGGTTTCAAATCTGGGATGAAATGCTATCTACTGACATTCCTACCAAAACTATAAAATAGAGAATTAGAACTTTTTCCATTAATATGCTTTCCAATTTTAGTAAAGATTCAAAGCCCTGATTTGAGCAAACTTGAACTAAAATGAGAAACAGTTTATGTTTTACATGTAGTGAGTATATGCAATTGAAATCCTACAAAGCCTGACAAGTTGCAAATCTGACATTTTTAAATACTACTCGCCGTGTACGCAGTTGTAGTCTTAATTTTGTAAAATAATATTCATACGTTATCAAGGTAGATGCATTTGTATTAGTAAGAGATATCTATAGCATTAAAAACCTCTAAATTAAATTTCGATAAAAGCAGGTAATATTGCGTAATATACTGAATAAAATGGATAGTTTGTTATCTATGTAGTTGCCTATTTATTTCGTGCAGCTCCATTAATCTGTTTTTCCCATTATATAAAAGTTTGTATTGTTTCATACGGTTTCTAGAATAGATTGAATTCTTGTTTCGAATGAAATAATAATTGCATATTACCCCATTCTTTAGGTGCAAAAAAAAAAGATTCTGAGAGTTGAGGCACAACTCTGTTTTAGCAAAATGAAAAGTTACTTTACACTAAATTATAAAATTGTTCGATTCTCGTAAAGAGTTTTTGTGTTTCCTGTTTGCTCATACTTACTTTCACAAATTATGGTTAGATTTTATTTTAAGAACTAATGAATGCATTGACCGGCAGGAAAGGTCGCATGGTAAAATGTTGTTTTGCGATATGAAAACTTTATGAATAAGCTTCAAAGCAATTATGAATTGTATAAAAAAATTAATATTAGTAATGATGGTTTATTTTGAACTAAGACACATCAAAGCTCCGATAAGAGGATTTCACACTCCGTTTTAGTAAATGTCAGTAAGATGCAGCTTAAATTAAGAATTTGGAGGATACAAAAATACGATGATACGACGTCAATATTCAAATAGAGAAACCAAATCAGCACCCGAAGTAAGCAGTTTTTTAAATATTATACAACATATTATTTGACTGAAATTAAATACTGGTAAATTTGCAACGTTTCATGCAATGCGATGTTCTTGTAAACATACCCTGCACAATCGATTCGATAAACCTAATAGATGATGATAACTCAATTAAAACAATCAAAGGACCTCACATGGTGACGATGACGATCTTTAGAAGCACTTTTTAATACCGGAACCGACTGTGGGATAAAGCTTTGCCAATGTGCACATTTTCAAATTTAGTCTATAATTATACTTATGCGTCAAATGGTAACACAAGCATCAAACAGGCGATTATCAGCATTCGATAATGTCAAGGAGCCTTAAATCATAAGGTACAAGTGGATTAACGTATTAGCCGTGTTTCTGTGATCAAAACATAAACAAGTTTCAAGAATTTAATAAAGTCCATCCATCTAGCTGTTTCGATTCCGACAGTCGTGCAATTGTTTCGGCATTCTAGAATTAATACCAGGCTCTTACAAATCTTAATCTCCGATTAAAGTAATAAATATTCCACTGAAAATTAACACCATATAATAAAATACAAAACTTACTTCAGCTGCAAATTCAGTGACAAATGTCGATAACGGAATGCGATGCACAAGTCAAAGGCACTGAAATTCCTAGCAAGATTTCGAGTTTGCGGACATGTGTGACGTCACGCGATCCGTTTTGGTTCATTGCACCTCATCTGAAGATTAATGCCAGGGTGGTCGACAGTTCGTAACTTCATTTCCAGAACGAAAAAATGGTTTCGTTTTTTTAGTGTTGAAGAGGAAACCAAGGTAAACCGCTTAAAAAGGATTGCTGTCACTATAGAAACTTTGACAGAACACACGGGGATGTTCGTACGTATCAATAAACGAAGTGCGTTGGCCATGGATTCTTCTTGAGCTCCGTGCACGCTGAGGAAGTCATTGAATCTAAACAGTCGGTATCAGTTGGGGTAGATTTTATGACAATATGTCGTAAAAATTGACTGATATTTTTTATCGAATAAAGTTTGTTACAAAATGAAACATTCTCACCTCCTTGTGCTCATTTAACATGATTGTATTCTGTTACAGACACTTACATACACCTTCCCTTTGAATTTCACTCAAATTCAACATAGAATTGGTTTAGGATTATTATAGCCTTACATATAAGAAGCTTGAATCTATGTGAAATTTCCAAACTCAAGAGAGGGTAATGCCATTCGAGTATAACCAATTGATCTAATGAGTGAATCAAAATTCTCAAACCCCGAGTTTCCTTCTGCAAAAATAGCACGGAATCGCTTACAAAAAATATACTGAAACTGAATAGCACGGAATCGCTTACAAAAAATATACTGAAACTGGTAAAATCTAATACTTACGAAATGCTATATTCGAATTTCAAGCATATTATGGCCGAATCGAACTCAAATTTCTCTGCTTGCATATTAGCAGAAATTTACCAGTAAATACCTTTTGCAATATACATTTATCTAACCCTACCCTTCATTCTGTATCTCATTTTAATGCAGTTACTATCATTCATTTAATAATAGACCTTGCTGCAGCTCAATGTACCGCAAACATGTTGAATTGCACTCTCGTGCTCTGTTTTGCCAAGCCAGTCTGCGTCAGTAACTTTTACTTTATTCAGAAAAAACCAACGCCATTTTGATGTTATGGCAATGCTGACATCGTTGTTCCCCAAAAGTATCATTAAACGCAATGACGTGATCGCAAACAAGAGAGGGCCTAGTGATATGCTTGATATCTACTAAACTTGCAGCAACAGTATTTTTTTTATTTGTTTGAGTGTTTCTTGACTGGATCGGAATCTTGCTTAAAACAAAAAAAAATTAATTTCCGTGCGGAACGACGAGAAAACAAAGCTGCAATATTGAAATATTAAGCTCAATTGTAGCGGTACAATGACACTTGCTAATCGCATGTCCAACATATATATCTATCAAGTATATATGCTAAACTTTATTAATAATATGTGCCATGTGGCATTCACCTAGAATAAAAACTAACTTACATCTTGAATGTTGATTGATGTTCAAAGCAAATCACGATAACAAATATATCATTTCGTTTCTATAAAGAAAGCGTTTCGTTTACATATACAGTATTTGTATACCATGAGCGTTAATAGAATGCAATGTTGTTAGAGTGTGCCCCACTGGACATGCCTAATCTGAAGTGACCCGTTTCTTTATATCAATAACCACATGACAATTAGCAAAATATAAATACTTTTATGTAAACAGCCATCTGTTAATATCAATTTTGTATATAGAAGCTATATTTTTTGACAAAAATTTATCAATTTCCAGAAAATAGCATTTTTCATCAAAAAATATTATAATTTTCGATCAAAATAGAACAAAAGGACATCCCGATTCGCCGAGCGACTTTGGTAGACTTCCGGGAATTCAACCCTTAGGCTACGTCTGTGTATGTTGGAAGTTATTTGTCATTCTAAATTTGCTTCGCATTTACATAATGGCTCAACAGGGTTAAATTAGGGCTGAGTACGTTCCGCACCGTAGTGACTTTATCGCTTGTCACTTAGAAGGCAACAGTAGTCCGTCAAATTGTTTCATGCTTTCCCTTGAGACGGCATTATCCTTTTTGGAGCAAGTCGCCGCATTTGTTGTATTTGGATAATAATGTTCTTTCTATATTATTCTATACAACAAACTTGATTTGATCAATTTTACGACAACGGACTCTAATTATAAATATAGTTTCATCACTGGAAAAACAAACCTGCAAAATTTACCATTTACAAAAAATTCAATATTTCATCCTTGGTTGATGTTTTGTTTTTTGTTATAATAAAAATAAAGACAATAATTGATATGACGTATGTCACGAAAAACGAATTTCGTCAAAATTTAGGATGTGCACTGATTGGAGGACAGTGTCCGACATTTCTTCGATGTTGCCGTGAGTCCGAGATGCGGAGTAAAATGTCAAGATGCATTAAGTTGTAGTCATTATATTCCGAAACCTTATAGGTCAACTATAAGCGCTGTATGTTTTTGGCGCGAAGACAAAAAGACAATATATAAAACTTAATTCCTTGCTTGACTGAAAACCAGTCAGAAAATGTCGAAAAACTAGATGTTCCCCAGAGAGAGAATATGTCATAACGTCTGGCGGAGATTTTTTCGTCAAAAAATAATCAAAATAATCTGCATAATCAGGACTAACTCACCATCTATTTTGAAGATTGATTCCATAGTTAGTGGGCAGAAGTAAAAATCATAATATTAAACGCCTTCGTAGTTCTGGACTTATAAAGAATGCTTCTGATGCTACTTACCATTTATTGTATTCCTTAGTTGCTGTGAAACATCAAATTTGGGGACAAAAATATCAGAAGCGTTTGTAAATAATTTTCATACGAAAAAATAACAGTAAAACCAACACCAATTTGGTTGTTTATTATTGAATATGAATTTTGTCCATCCAGATTACAAGTAACTTAAATTGAATAACAGTTATGCGCGGAGAACACCATTTTGCAAATGTGTCAGTAGCCTGTGAATTCCGCTGATTACCATGATAAAAAAATAGTTACGGTGGATGCCTTAGTAGAAAACATAGCTGATGCCAGATGCAGACGAATATCATCTTGCAAGCGAGTAGAAATTAATTACAACATGTTGACTTTCATATAAAAGGTAAATTTATTTAACGCAAATGGTTTCCATAGTAGGTAACACACTTCAAAAAATAAAGTTACTCTATCTAGCACAAAATGAAAAATAGAATTTGAGCAAATATCGTTTTTGCTAAAAGTACAAAAATAGGTAAAATGGGGAGCACAGCTAGGTAAATTAACATAAACAGTGTATTTGGTGTAAGGTTTGTTCAAAACAGTGGAAAATATATAAGTCAAGAATGTATATTTTTATCCCTTGGTGATACGAAAAGCAATTTGGTGAGAAGTAACCATTCAAAATTATGACTAAATTTAAGGCGTAATTGTAGTTTTTTAGTTTATTTGCTGAAAATGCAAAAAAAAATGACCACACATCTACATCAAACTAGATTAAATTCAGGATGAACATAATTGATATTAAAAAAGGACACGATAATATTTTAATACAGGCTTATTTAAGTACACAGGGAAAATTATTTGATTAACTATGTATGAAATTATCTTATATTACACTTTTGATCTACGACTCTTGTCAAAGAAAGCCATAATAAAAGTTTCGATCAACATTAAAAAAAATTAGTTTTTGTTTTGAACCTTTTAAAGAAATGAATTTTGATGACATATTCATTGAAATTAAAAATAGGCTTGGCCAAGTACGGATTTAAAAAAAAAATAACTGATCAAGCTTGATTGATAAGCCCGGTTATACAAAAAAATATTACCAAATATATGCAAAGAACAGTATATACAAATTATAATTAGATAAATATTTTCAGAAAACGATTTCTTTGACAAAGACTTTGAATTTTTCCATGCCATTGACAAGATATGTTGTGTTCTGAAATAATAATAAGACTTGTTATGTATAAAAGAAATAGGATTGTGTACCCATGTTGAATAAACGACTCAAATTGATCCTAAAAGTTTGGAAAAATATAAATCCCAGTCATAAAATACATCAAGAAAATAAGTTACATTTAATGCAAATCAAAATAGGATTCAAAACGAACTACGTTTTATAAGTTTAATCCCTGCGTTTTCAATAATGCTAAAGATATATATAAGAATTACATGAGGGAATATTTCGAAAACGACAACGTAAAAATTTGAATAAATATGATTGATTTTTAGCCTAATGACGCATCAAGCTGATCCAGTTACGATAAGAAGAATCCCGATCTAAAATAGTAAGAACAAACTGATAGTGATGATATACCAATTTGCAGCGGTGCTATGGGAGTCACCTTTTTTAGCAAAATGCAATTAAAAATTTAAAAATGATATAATCCGTTCCCTTAATCACAATGGTCGGAGAAGAGTTAATGAAGCGTATAATGACGTAATACTTCTGATCGAGTCAAGATTTTGTATGGGCGAGTATGAAATTACTTACACCAGGGAATGAAATCATGTAGCAGCCCATTCGCTTCCTTTTGTTTTATTATTGTTGCGTTCAATTTCAATTTGGCTTAAGTTAATGAAAGTTCAGGGATCATTTGTCAACTAACAAAAGTGAATGATTTTGCTGAAGTTGATCTGAACTAACAGATGGTGAGAAGATTCACTTTTGTGAAGTAAATGATTATTGACGTTGAAGGCACTATGATGGCTGTCGCATTTGCTTTTTTATGCGTTACAAAACATATCAGTGGGATCAACGGCATATCGGTTGGCATTTAGACTTGACTATGTCACCATCACAAATTAAAGATCTCGTTTCAAACTTCACGAAGACTACTTCGCCCACAGGGTGTAAGAAATTGGGTATAGACAATGTTGAATCGGAAAGATTCCATCCCCTTTTAAAAATTATAACGGTTTACAAAATGACGGGTGTGATGACGCGGTAACAAAATAGCCATGGTATGGAGTAGGAACAAACAGGTAGCAAGTTGTACTCGTGTAGTATGCTGCTGTTCTGTATCTTTTCGATTCGACACAATTAGCCCAATTTATCGAATGCAAGGCGAAGTCACGGGCATGGGATTTCAATTCGAGATCTCTACACCGGGATGCATAATACAAGAGCGAATAAAATGTGATGCGTTTGATAGATTTTTGGCTATCGTCACCCACCATTCATAAATATGACATTTTGACCGTTTGATTCTGAATATTGACGCAAAATACTCAAGGTTTTAATTGTTGTTTCAAAGATTGTGAAATCGATCAAAAACAAAAACGGATATATAGTACAAGGGTAAGGTAAAAATCCAGACGAAAAAAAAGAACAATTTTTTATACAACTGCATTGTAATATGCTGTAAGTTTTTTCACAAGACTCAAAAAAAATATCAAAATAAAATTTTTACAAATATTATCAAAATATCATTTATTATAAAATGCATTGAACTATAACAGTATAGATTTGCGCAAATATACCTTTAAATCGAAATAGAGAGATTTTGGAGAATTGTGAAGAGTATAGTATATATGCAATCAAAGATAGTAATTTATAATTTCATTAGAACTTCACAGAAAACGCTAATGTTAAATATTTGAATTTTCGAAAAAATGACCAACTTTTTTTCGACTAGCATCAAGCGTCGAATTTTTTTAAACAATTTTCTGCATGTTGTTCTTCCGAAACTACTTGAATAGCGATTTTTTAATCGGTAACGACAAATCCGCTGTTGAGAAAATCAATTAAGATAAGTAATCTATCGCGTTTACGTGATAAAAATCATTCCTTATTTATTCATAAATCCTTGATCAAATAAAAGGAAACTATTACCAATAATAATTATCTGTTGTAACACACTGGTAATGACGAATTAATGTCAATCGGATTATCGGAATAGAAGTGAGAAAATGATTAAATTCAATTTGATATCGATTCATTTTGGGCTTTGTACGATTCAGTTGGAATTTATAGAAGTTGATTTTCCATTTTTTAATCCTTGGTAATGAGCTAGCTATTCGATGCGCGCAAAGGCAAATTATCCACCGTTTATCGAATTGTATAATAAGACACAGAAATTTTTGCGAAGGTGGAAGAATATTTCTCGAATAATAATTATGCTAAACCAGCAATTTTAGTTGATCGATTATAAAAATTCGTTTATTCCTTCCTTCTAATAGCAATAAGTATTATGTCTCATATCTGAAAATAGTCATGAACCATGAAAATACATTTAGAGCTGAGGTGATTTCGAATTAATAAATCAGTTTGGACTTTAAAAACTATTATCGAAGATGACCTTATGGCAGCACTCCACAAAAAAGCCATTCAAAATGCGATTGGGACCATGTATCCATTCCTACTTTAAACCATACTATTCATACTAAAAACACAGTACATACGGGCCAGAAAGTTATCAAAATGACACTATGTTATCTCAAACTCGAATCAAAAATATCCTTTACCAAACTTTATTTTTCTTCGGTTTGGCCTTCTGTCTGCTGATCATCAGTTTTTTGTCTCACTGATGGTTGAGTACCTTCCGATCTGTAACAAATAGATGATTACCAATAATGAGTAAATTCGGAATCAATCCAAGTTGTTAAAGTTCGGGTTTGATTTGGAAAAGCGGAATTCGAGCTTTCGTTTCCAGTATTCGCAGGACTACAAAAAGACAGTTCACTCACAAATCGCCTCCATTCGCGAAATTTTTACAAGAACGCCTCGTTTCATAGTTCCTTATACAATATGGCTGTGAACATTATCTTAGTTTTCTGGTTAATATGTTGATTTGATTCGTATCCGCGGGGATATTCGAAAATATAGTCATATAATATACATATATGTTCGGTACATATGGTTTAAAAACAAATCAAACACATTGAATCCATGTCATATTAGCACTCACACTGTACGATAAAACAGGAAAAGACACCTGTGCTTAAACGACCCTTGGATCCAATTTCAAGTAACAAGATGTGGTAAACGATGGGAATAAAAATCTTTTCTTGTCTTCAAACTTATTTATGCGAAACTTGATACTGTTTTAACGTTTGAAAATTCTTCAGTCAAGGAAGGGCATTGAAAAATCTTTGCTGCGAAGCGCAATCCAAGATCGGCCCACGATTGGAAAAGAATGCGATTTCATCTGAATATTATTAAGAGGTTTCTTAGATAACGGTAATCGGCTTTATCTACTGCACGCGCAGGGTAAAAATTGTATGCGGGTGAATTTAAGACAAATTCGTGTTGTCGTGACGTAGTGGAAACTAATAGTATATAGCGATATATGGTTAGATATAACTGTGCGTGATATAATATTCCACTATAGCTTAAACATTGCCGTATTGTGTAGCGTCAAATTTCGGCGCTTCTGGAGATAATTTCATTCATGAATAAATTAGTCATACTTTGAAGGAAAAATATTTATGAAGTATTTCACACATCTACAAACATATTATATAGACTCGCGGAGCGTTCACGCGAACCTGTGCGTCGCGACTCAAAAGTTGGTCGCCTGAACATTTTCTTGCGTCACTTGTTTTTTCAACAAAAACATCAATGTTACTGCTTTTATTTTCTAGTATGTTATTTTTTTCTATATTTGTATTGACGTGTTGCTCAATAGCAATTGCGTATGAGGGAAGTATCACAGCGTAACAACTTGGCATCTGCTGTTATTAGTTTGTCAGTTAATTTTGTGACCATTTGAGACATAAGCATCACATAACTGCCTAGTATTTGAGCATGTCCTTGGGTCGCGAGATTGAGTAGCTTGAAAAAAAGGTTGGGAGCCCCTGGTATACCCCATCAGATTCACTGTATGTTGAATGGCATGGCCTTTCTTATATAGTTGCTGTCACGTAATTGTCTCACCACTAATTTTTTGATCTGTTTTCTTAAGATAGGTTAGGATAAGGTCGGACACTTTTGGTCGGTCGGAAATAATTGTGATGGGGTAAAAACAAGATACTACACAATTTTATTACTCTCTGGGTGAGTTGGGTGATCCAGAAATAACATCAACGTTGCTTGAACCCCCTTACAAAATAAGAGGCCATCGCGTTTCAATTTAATACAGTTCACATGAATGACACATTTCAGTTCATAACAGTTAATAGGATAATCACAATTGTCACATATTTTTTCTCATCTGGTTAAACTAACACATAAACCCTTTTTTAATTTTGCTGGTAGTAAGAACAAATAAAGTCATTATGAGGTAATAGACTTTATTCAGTTCTGACACATTTCATTGAATTATATGAGTCATAAGTATGCCAGTCTAGTCAGTGAATAATCATTGACGAGAATGAACAATGGATAAATTGTACTCTGATCATAAAGTCTTGATGTTAAAAATATGAAATGACATCGAAAAATTTGAACAGACCACGAAAATAGTTTTAAAGGAACGTAAGTATGCCCAGTAGTTTAGAAATACTATTAAATTGATATTAATTTCTATACAATGTATAGATTGGATTACGTCAGAATTATTACATTTCACAGAAATACAATAATTTGAAACGCAGAAGAGAGCGATGAAACGCGTGCGTTACTCATCAACAGTCCATAAAAAATAACATCACCAAAACTGCATTGAATTCCTTCAACACCCTTTTTGTATTAAATAATTTAAAAAATTTATTAGCTAGTACGAGTACAACCAAACAAAAATATATTCAAAATACTATATTATCCTCCATGTTACATTAGCCCTGCCAAACAATATGGCGTATGTTTACATGACATCAAGTTCAGCATTCTTAGGATTGAACATTCAAAGTTTCAATGGGCGGATACCGAAGCATCAAAATAGGAGAAGCATCATTGTTTTGGGTACAAATACAATGCACAATGGCTTAACTTTTCATAGATAGATCGAATAACTTGACAAGGACCGTGTTCCTTTTAAGATAAGATAAAAATCTGTTTACTGTATTTTATCACTCATAAACAAACAGATTAGATAAAGCAAACAATAGAACAACAATTATTTTTTTTAGAATAGGAATAATTAGTTGTATTTATATACATTTTAAACAAAATATATATTCTATCTACTGGGTGTCTCCTGTGATGTCATTCGATTAACCATTCTCAGCCGACAGATTGAACCTGATCTACGGATTATAACTCTTTGAATAAGTTGGAATTGAACTTTTGATACTGTAATAAAGATTGGTTGGTACACCGCGAATTTTTATTTATCGTTTGTTCTCTATACTATCTGATTATCTTATTGATAAAAACCGACATCTTCGTGAAGGTATGACGTCAAAGAATTTTGATTTTCGATGTTTTTCGATGATAATCGTTTGTTAGTTTACATTCACACAAACTTTGTTTGGTTTGTCTGACTTTAAATCTACCAAAAGAAAACGATACATTGAGTGAGATCGTTGACTGGCAGGTTGCGAGATTCCACGAATAAGAAAACCAAGTCAAGCATCGAAATTTTAAAATTTTCAAATATTGGCGTGTGAGTTTGACAAACAATTATGTAAATGCACAGTATGACGTATACAGAATCAAACAGAAGACGAATTTTTGGTAATTCGATACTCCGTGTTGATAGCATATTATGCTTATGATATGCCGCTACATTTTTGAAACATATACTAAGCTAAAATTTTATCTAAAAAAAAGCAAACTCGGGACAAACTCAAGTTCGTTCGATACTCATCACCATCGTGTTGTCTTGTCGGGGTTAGTCAAAGGTCGTACTTGAGTAAACAAACGAGACGAAGATACGGGTCATTCGCTAAAAATCACAGAGGTACTTGCTAGACCAAACAATGATTCTTCAATAGAGTATATTTTGGCGCGTTATCGTTCCGCTCAAAATGGACGTAGGCCGTATTCAACCGCGTATGGGCGAATAATGGAGCCCTGATTTATGTAACGTTAATGATCGCCATTGCCTAATAAGAGTAGAGATATGGTATCAACAACATTACGTAAACGGATGTTGTAAAAACGGCCAGGCATAAATGCTTTTTAAAAACAACTGGCGGAAACAACCGGACAGGTCGAGATGTCAAAAGAATAAAACACCGCCTACCGCACGATACGAAATTGAGTTTGTAAACAACCGGCAAAAGTATTGTTATCTGGCTTAAACTAATCGCGTACAGAATGCAAAACATATCATTTATTATTCGTTTTCTATATTTATTTGTTTGTTTTATTTATTATGTAACCATATTTTTAGCTCCCTAATAACACCAAACCAGACAGCGTGGCCACAAGTAAGCCAATGCGACACGGTCCGAAGCGAATAAGCCCCTCAATACCATAAAGGAAATTCTCGCATCTAGCTGGGTGGGGGTCCATATATGTTAGGTTTGCAGGCCCCCTTAAAATGGATAATCCTTCTCAGGGGTCTTCAGTTTTGACGGAGCGTCAAACCGGGGTAAATTATCCGGATAAACCGACGTGTCAAAGTGGACCGCACTGATGTCCGGTCAGGAACGACTCCTGGAGTTTCCTGATTATGACAATGTGCAGTCGACAACGCGTGCCGTGTTGAACAATTAGCGTTTAAGTGTTTGACCAGCAAAATGTATTGTGTCTAAGCTTGACATAAACTCAAAATGAAGTCAAATATATGATTTATACAAAATTCGTGTTTAAATAGTATGTGTAAATAGCTATCCCTCTACTCTGGTGTCATGATAGATTACCAATTCCTGTTTTGGTGTTTTGCGAGACATATTGGTATCCGGGAGTCGATATATAATTAGATGGCGATGTATATATGGCAATGAATACGCCGGAAAATAGCAATGTTTTTATTTTGATTTAAGAAATTTCTATATAAAATATCATCAAAAGTTGCCGAAACAAAACATAATAATAAGACGAATTTGTGGCATTCCATATGAGATTTAATCTATGCCAAGCGTGAGACGTGGATGGCGCGCGCTTCGTCAGCGCTCACCATCAACATCTCACGTTTGGCCATATATAATTTATCAGAATTTAACTGGGGACAGATTGCAAGTCAGAATGGTGGTTTTATTTATAACGTTAGATAAGACATGAAATCGTAATAATCATTCATCATGGAAAAACATGAGATGTGAAAAGACAACGACAAAATAGGGACAAGGAGACGTTGGGACCGACCCCAGGCAACAGATGTCCGAAACAGTGTTTCCAAAACAACACACAAGGCTTATCGAATTAAAACATGTTTCTGGGAAACTATATGAATTGATTTTACATGTTTTTAACGACAATTTCTGCGGTGATTAATGGTTGTATATAGATTGACGAAAATCTAACATCTTTGAATGGGCGCTAAATTGTAAGTTCGAATTCCCCAAAAACTGACTTCGCTACTAATTCAGATACAATCGCCAAATATATTTTCACAATAGTACCAGGTAACGAACCACCTTCCTATTCGTTATTCAAAATGGGCTGTTCAGAGCCTTGTCCTGAGTGAAGCTCACCGAAACTTCGTATGTAAGAAAAGCATGCACTAGCAAAGGATATAAATTTTCTCGTGGTCCCAATTTCCATGCGGACATACTCCA